GACAGGATCTACATAACGAGTAGTAAATAAATCTTGCAGATAAGAGTAATTCCCAGGCTCATTTGAGCACAGAAACATCTCAACTACATTTTTAGGATTGACTGGTAATAATATTCATCGTAGAACAACTTTTTTTTTTTTTAGGAGAAACCATATAAGCAACAGCCCTATGTTCCCCCCCCCTACTATATGTATTTGTTTTTAAAAAGTACTTATATACCAGGTATATTGATGATTATTCTTCTCTTCATCTTGTGAGACGATATCTTTTTGTACACTTGAATAGGAGAAAGAGACTTGCAGTAACTGTCTGTTTTTGTCAGCAGCTGAGCATCTTCTAAAAGTCACATAACTCTGTTCAACGGTACACATATTGTGTATTTGTCTGGATTCTGCTTGAAACAAAAGCCTTCCACAAGTTTGTTTTTAAGTTCTATGCTGCTGCCTTCCTTGGAACACCCAATTATTTTCTTCAAGCTGTCTGATGTATAGTTTATTTTTTTTACCAAAAAATAGCAGCCCCACATGATGCTGTTATGGAAAGCAACATATGCACAGATTGAATGTGTGTAGAAATGAGTCTTTCTGCATAAATCTAAATTGTTCACTTTTTGCATGGACAGATGTACACAGACGGGCGCTAAGAGAGGGTACAAAATTGCAATTACTGAATAAGTAGACAGATTTATTTTCATGATTATAACTGGACAGTGCTGTAGCTTTTTTAGACTTGATTTTACACATACAGATTGTCATGCAGCTGGGACTGCTTGCAAATACACTGCTGGGATTACAGAATAGGGAAGGATAACCTATCACAAGAAGTTCCAAACTCAGAATTCTTATTGTTTATTTTATTTCCGCTGGCCAATCACATTTTTTTTTTGACAGAAAATGGAAGAAGACATAACGGGACTCTTTTAAGTTTCCTGTACTATTCCACCTGCTTGGTTTCAGGAAAGAAAGCCTAATTCTTCCAGTTGTCCACAAATCCCAGAGATTTAATTAAGGACTTTGGGGGATGGGGTGCGCTTCTTATCAACTCAAAGAGTTTGCTTAATGTCAAATTGTTATGGTACCGTAAGCCTGAATATTCCTCTGCAATCCTAACTCCCTCCAGTGTATATTTATTTTATTTATATCTTTGGTTCTTTGTGTAATTCAAGGTGGCATCCATAATGCTTCCTCCCCACAACAGTAACCCTGTGAGCTGGATTGGGCTGAGGAAATCAGAGAACAGGTGGTCCAAAGTCATCCAGATGGTTTCTGTACCAGAAGAAAGACTGGAATTCATAGTCTCTCTTTTAGTTCAGCATTTTAACCACTAAACTAAGCTGGCTCTCATCTTGAGGAACATTTCTATGTGAATATTTATTACAGACATTTGAATGCAACAAGAGTTCTGTCACAGTAGCTCATCATTTAAAAAGTAATAGTACAGTAACAACCAAAACAGTAACTATAGCCACAAATCTTTATAATAATCCCTGAAAGCCAAAAAGCAATGTAAAATATAGTGAAATATTAACCTAAAATTAGTCAGATAATATTCAAAAATAGATCAAAAAATAATTAAGCCAAAAATAAATCTTTAAAGAAACATCTTTAAGTATTAATGATAGTAACAACAACAGTAACAACAATGCTAAATACATTTCTCGAGGGAGAAGTCTGTACATGAAAAGCTTCTTCTTGCATATATAAACTTTACAGGCAAGTTTCTAAATAGTTCCTGAAGGTACAAGTATTCCATCAAGTAATTCAATGCCAAGTTGCTATAGAAGTTAAAACCAATTGAAAATATGCAGAAAACAAGAGGCAGCTAGAGCACTGATACAACATTGGCATGACATCTTCCCAAAACCAAAAAGTCTCTCACCTGATGACTAGCAACCGTCTGAATGAACTGAATACTCAAAAGCTTTGCTTTTGCTTTGATACCCAATCAGATGTCCATAAATTCAGAATTTCTCTGTAAAAATGGCAGTGAGGTAGGATCAAAAATTCTTTATACAGACACACACACACACACACACACACACACACACACACACACACACTTTCTTCCCTCTCTGCCCATCCTCCACTCTACCCATGCATTTTTTCCCCTTTACTTTGGAAGGAAAAATACTGACCAACAGCCAATATTTCTTTTCTGTTGCTATTTGGCTAGGGAAAGAGAAATTAAATCTGGTGTTCCAAAGCAATGTTGTGTGTATTGTGTGCTTGGAAGAGTGTCCAGCAGCCATGCTGAAGTAAAAATGGAAGTTTGTTATGGAATTTCCACACGGGGCTTCTGTGACAGGTTGCAAGCTACCCTGGGCCTGTGTGTTCTCACAATACCAGCAATGTTGGAATGCGGTTGACCTGATTTACAGCATTTTTGACTCAGCCTTGTATAGTTGAAACCACCATGAAACTGGGTGGGGTTGTTTCTTTGAGGTAGAGTGGCTTCATTTGAAAGGAACTTTTTAAATGAAGGAATTCTTTCTCATCCTTCATCCCAGCTGCCAAATTTTGGGTCCTTAAAGGAAAATGGTAGCTTGAGAGCTCTGCAACTCCCGTTCAATAGCTCAGGCAAAATAAGTGGATAAATATTTTGTCAAATTCTCCTTGTTGTCATTACTTCTTCGCCTGCCTGCTTTTTTCACTGAAGTCTGATCACCTTCGAAATGTTTCTGATGTTTAGAGAAATTAAAATAATAATGTTGAAATGACCTTAGGACAGAATGTAAGGTATGTATCCAGTGTATTCTGGGAGAGCAATTGCTAGTCAATGTACTTTATGCAATGCTGAACTGGATGGATGAAATATTTTACTTGTAAATTTCCTTATGTGTTAGAGGTAGTTAGAAAAGGCAGTCATTTAGCTTACTAAGTAAGGCCAACCATAGATGAAAAATGAAAAGAGAAGCTATTGAACTTTATTAAAATCTAAATTTTAATCTCTGTCTTTGTCCTCACTGGTGGAAAGTCTGGAAATTCTTAATTGTGGCTCATTCTTCAAGAGCATCCCATATACCTGTTCCACTTCTTCTGTTCCTCCAATTTGTTTATGAAAGGAGCATGAACCTATAGCATTAGCACTTTCCAGTTGAGGTAAAGAAACCAAATCATTGCCAGAAGTTCAGATTCCAAAGGTGGGTTCTGTTTATGGGGAAGAAGAGATCCTACTTCACCAGGGAAGCTCTAAGATAGTGGAATATATCCATGGTCACATTGACCTAGTGGAATCTTTCATGAATGCCTGACTTATATGGAGTCCTGAACACCTGGTAATGAACAGCAGTATTGTGCATAAGAGCAGAACTGAGTCATGTGCAGCACATACCATTCTAATGAGTAATACTGTCAGGCTACTGTGATAATGAGACTTAAGTGCCTTAGTATTATGCCTTTCTTTCCCTGCAGCCCACTCTTAGAGCTGGGGATAGTACTGTAGCTGGTCAGAGAAGAGCTGGCCCCAAGTCTCCCAGCTGTAATGGACACAGCCAAAAGCTATTAATGCACAGCTGCTTGTAATCAACTTGGAGCAATGCCCAGCCATGTTTCTTTTTTTTTTTTTTTGCAACTTGTTCCTTCCACAAGTTGCATAGGAACATTGTAAGACGATGAGCTGGAAGTCTAATTGGTTTGTTTCAATACTCCACTCCTGCTGAAGGGAATGCAGCCTGGTAAGAGAATCCATAAGGCTGCTTTCTTTTGCATGGCACTTTGTCCCATTGTGACCAAGTGTAGTATGCAATTATATTCTATAATTGCCATAATGGGAATGATGGTTATGGATCTGAAAAAAGGCTGTTGGCTCCACTTGTATATATTGGACCCCCCAATTGTATGTCTTCTTTTGACACACACAGGATGGTTTTCACAGTGCTTTGGTACTAGGGCTATACCTGGCATTAGCTTGAGTAGATGCTGCTTCTGCCATGAGAATTGTCTTTCCTGTTTTCTCTAATGCAGCATCCTGTATGCCTTTCTGACTTGGATAATCCCATTGTTCCCACCTCTGCCAGCAGAGCAGATTTAGTTGTTCAGGAAGCTGGAGGAAGAGATGTGATTGACACATCAGCTATATCCATTCTTCTGTTGACTGAATATAATTGGAAATAATATTATAGGTTCAAGTGCTTTGCTATCCCTACAGATTCCCTTGCTTCTGGTGCAACTGGATTCACAGCCTACTTCTTCCATCATTTCCTGCCTCTTCCTTTCTCAAATCTGCCATCTATATTACAATGTCTGTATATTTCAATGACCCCAGCAGAAGTATCTGTAGGACAATATATGATGAATTATGTCTTGAGAGTGTAGCAATATGCTGTCAGGAACTTGAGTATTTTCTGATCCTAGAGTGTTAGCTGGATAGAAGCTATGTGACAATCTTGAGGTTTACTTGCTTTAAAATGTGAATCTACAAAATGGTACTTGTATTATTTTAGAAATGCTTGAACAATGGTTTTGGTTGATTCGGAAAGACATGAGCCAGTTTCATTACGTCTATCCTAACAGACAGTTTAGAATGAATGTTATAAGCAAAATATTTATATTACTGTTGGTCCCTAAATTCTGCAGAATGGTTTTACAGAGACAGCATTTGGTTGCTAAAACTCATCTAGTTGGTGGATTTTACCAACATTGTTGATGCATAAGGGTAGTATAAACGTAGACAGTGTATGAATTTGCCTTTCAGGCAGGGCATGAAGTATGTTTCTTTCCAACCATCATAAGCAATACTATTGTTGAATTGCAACAGTACAGGTTCCACAACATTCCATTATCTTCCTTGTTACCTTGGAATGTTTTTTTTTTTTTACCGATGAAGGCCTGAATAGATTTCCCAAGCTGCAGCTGCTAAGATAATTGGGATGTTTGAAATCTAAGCAGTATTGAGTGTTCAATACTGCTATATTCTGTTCCCAGGAAATTTTAAGGGTGTGTTTGAATGTCATTCTACAACCGTCTCTGAAAAAATATTGCTTTTTCTGTCATTCTTTCAGCAGAAGCCTAGGAAGGCCATTCCTCAAGTCGGAGAAGATTCTCAAAATGGTCATCTCCCACCTGGCTGGCAAAGTTACATGTCTCCTCAGGGGCGAAGATACTATGTGAACACCTTCACCAATGGTAAGCTATTTTTTTTACATGCTAGTTTTATTTGTTTAGAAAACCCTCCTCATTTCCCCTAACATCAAAAGTAGAGATAACGTACCTTAACAATATGAACAGTAGCCAAACACTTTCTTGTACAATCCATAAAATAACTGTGCTCCTTGGCTGGTCATTGTAGACAACCTGATTATCTGCCTTTCTCCAGATTTCTCGTATTTATTCCCAGCATAAAATCACGCATCTCAATTTTTTGCCAAAGAAGATGATCTCTTCCGTTCTCTTACCAGACATTCTCCGTACAATTTGGGGACAGAAATGTTTTGAAAATGTTCTACTTTCCATCTCATTTGTGCTAAACTTCTTCTGGGTCATGCCATTCTAGCAGTCAGTTTACTAGTTTCCAGAAGTAAATCCTTTAAACCAGAAATTGTTTGAGCTGTCCTTGGGCACCTGACTAGGAAACAAGCCTGTTTTTTGCCAAAACTCTAGGTATGGGACATTCTGAACCACAGCTGATTCAGAGAATTTACTTCTGGAAACTTTTAAAAACTGCCTGCCAGAATGGTACATACCAGAAGAGATCAGTACAGTCTTAACAGCCAAACTACAAAATATTCCATTCTCAAACTGGTGAATTTTGTATGTCTTGCTTTGTTCCCTCCCAAAAATAAAGAGTTTTTACTGGGATTGGGAATTGAATGTAGACAGTAAGAATGAAGGCGCAAAGCAACCAATGCTGAAAGCCATTTTGAACAGAGGTGACCTCAGTTGAGCAGCCTACCCCAAAGAGGCTCATATTTTTGAATTTCTGCTCCCTTTTTAAATTTCTCTCACATCCTTGAAAGCCCAAATATCTTTATTCTACTGCAAATGATAATTAAATGTATGCACTCATAGTTATGAACATTTCATTAACAAGTTAATTCAACAAGAAAATGGATCATATTTGGATGAGTTTCTTACCGATTGTCCATAACCTACTACCACAATGGGCACCAGAATTTCTGTTGCTAAGTAAGGTGGTTGTTCAGTCAATTGCCCCCATTTTTGCAACCATCACTGCAGTTGTTAAGTGAATCATGTGGTTGTTAAGTCAGTCTTGCTTCCCCAACTTGTTGGAAGTTGGCTGGGAAAGTCTCAAATGGTAATCACATGAATCCCCCCCCCCCAGGATGCTGCAAATGTCATAAATACATGCCAGTTGCCAAGCGCCTGAATTTTGATCACATGACCATGAGGATGTTGCGACAGTTGAGGATAAGCTCTTTTTTCATTCCCGCTCTAACTTTGAACAATCACTGAATGAATGTTTGTCAGTTGATGACTTGTATTCTGCATCATAGCAGGTGGTAACATCTAGCCAACTTTGGTTGAAAAGCTAAGCAGGACCAGGTTCGTTTAGAACTTAAATGCAAGGCTGTGAAAAAGTCCAAGACTGAGAAATCAGAAGGCAGTGGCAAATAACTTCCACGTAATTTCTGAGAAAATGTATTGGCCATCTCCATACAGCTATCAGGAGTCAAACTCAATTCAAGGAAGGCTATTTATTTTGTATTGTGCATTTGGATATCTGAGAATTGAATGTTACATTTTCTGCGTTGCTATGCATGTAAATATGTAAGTAGTTTTGAAATTATGAAAATATTCAGCATAAATCAAGCTTAACTAAATCTGCTGCACCTAAAACAGCCATAATAATTATGTGACATTCTACCGATTTCCTGTTTAGAGTCAGACCTGGGAAATATTTAGGGCTTAAATTTCAGCTCTCTAGTGACCAAATAATTTGGATGTCCTTAAATGAAAATATAAATCATTTTTGAAAGGATAACTCCTGGGGAGAGCAAACATATAGTTCAGAGGTTCTAAGCAAATGAAAAACAGCCTGAAATAACTGGTTAAAAAAGAATTTAGGAATGTTTTCCTAACGTTTTACACCATAATGGGCAGTGGTGAAAAACTTTGTAATTGTTTAATTCCTTTCTTTCTTTTTCCTTGGGTTCACAGTTCATCTGTAATCATGTCTCTTAGCTTTTTGCAGGTAAAGAAGCAGTTTTTGTTTTTCCCTGGAAAGTTAAAACATTTCATCACTTTCCTATTATAAAAATGGGGAAACAGAAGTTCTGTTTGCTGCAAGGCAGGGAAATTAATGAAGGGATTAAGGCAACAAAGTGATGGAAGAAGTTGCAGGTAGGATCATGCAAAACCTTTCAGCAAAATGTTTATACACGAGGGAGTAAATATGAAACAGTACTTTTGAATCATTAAAGCATGTGCTTCTTTTCCTAGATTTCAGCATAGCAAAGTGGTGTGCATGCTTATGGGGAGACTTATTTCCAAAACAGCAACGTGGATTTGGAAAAATATATGGTTGCTATATTGAGTAGGAAAAAAAGAGCTTTGTATGTGCTCCCTCATGTTTGAAGCACATTGCTTCAAGGGTTTGCATTGTATGTACAGTCTACAAGTATTCCTTGATTTACAGTTACTCATTCAGCAACCATTTGAAATTATGATGGCGCTGAATGAAGGGCCTTATAAACTGGACCCAAAGTTATGGCTGTTGCATTGCTCCCGTGGTTATGTGATCATATTTTGGGTGCTTGGCAATCCACCTACCCTTATGATCGACCACAGGGACACTGCCTATCATTCCCCCATCCCACATCACTGAATCCTTTGAACTTACCTCTCACCTGGCTGGTCCCCATAGTCCTTGGACCTGCTTCCTGCTTTGCTGGGTCTCACACACTTGGGTCTCCCCTGCCCCATCATGCCTCCCTCATGATAAATACAACACTAATATCAGTAAATGGATTTTGTATTTTTCAACATCAGAAATATCTCTTAATTTCACAGATTTATAGCTCTCTTGAAAAAACATGTGATCATACGATGTCTCACAGTCCCAGACACACTGCAGAAAAGAAACCACCTCTGCATATCTCTTCACATTGCTATTAATGTGTGGGACAGTTTTGCTGTTAAATAAAGTGGACAGCTGGTTTGGTGTAGCATTTAAGACATCAGACTAGAGTCCTACCACAGACACACACACCCAGGACAAAGCCATCCGTGTGACTTGGTCCAATCACTTTCTCTCTGCCTTATGAAGGAAGCGGTGTCAAACCACTTCTGAAAAACCTTGCCAAGAAAACTGTGGGGATTTGTCCAGGCAGTGTCTGAGAATTGGACGCAATTAAACGGAAGGAAAAAAGTGGGAGACATCTATTCTGCAGACTAGACCATGTAACATCTATGAGTCTGATCCTTATCCATTTTCACATTATACGCAGATATATTCATTTTTATTTTCCTTCTCTCATTGAAAATGGGTGTGGATTGAACAAATTCTTCTATTTGAAATAATAATAATACTGCTATTACTACTCTTTTTTTTCTCCTTCCCCCCCTCTTTTTCTTCCCAAGGCATCTAGTAAAAGCTAAACAGTTAAGAGCTGATCAGTACATGAATGAGAGCCCACTAGAAAAATCCAGGACTATAGGCTAGACTAGAAAGAAAAAATAATTGAAATAAAACCATGGGAAATCACTTCCATATTATTGCAAAGAAAACTACATCCATGTTGTCAGGCAGTGAAAAATAATAAGAAAGGGGAAAAGCAGGAAACAAAATCAAAATATGGCAGTTATTCTAGTTTAATGTCATCTATGATAAAGAAACTACTCAAGCATGGCTTCATAGAAAATACAGTGCACAAGTCAGTAGGATGAATTACAGTTTGAGGGTAAATTATCATTAGACATTAAAGACTAAAGTTAGAATCAAACCAGGTACTGAAGTTTCCACTTAAAAGGGGGGCAGTGTCAACAGTTGAACTGAAATAAGAAAAGTGTGGTATCGAAATGTTTTGCAACTATACTATATTGTTGAAATATCATCTATCCCGTAGAATAAAGGATATTTCGTAATTACAAGTTCCTTTTGCATCAGTGCAAGCAAAAAATCTAATACATCCTTTTTTGGATTTTCCCTCTTTATGAAATATTTATTTTTATTGTATATCTTAATCAGATTCCATTCTGCAAAATTAAGTGTCATACACAAGCAAGATTTTTTTTTTAACATGAGACAAATCCCTAATCCCCATTTTATGTGAAAATTCTGCTTTGTGGACTATCTTTAGGTGTATCTTGGAAAGTCTGGGATTTCACCCAGCCTTGCAACAACCAGATTAATAGTGTCTCAAATTTTAGGGAAGCCTATTATATATTATCGATACATAAATATTTAGATGTTCCTTCTCATAGGAATAGAATAAAATGAAATATTAGCTTTTATAAATCTAACTCTTCCTATTCTAAGCAAATATAACTTCACATCAAATGTAAAGGAGAAATGTTTTGATTAATTTGATTAGTGATTAGTTTTTTACTTTCTTCTGTAAGTTCCAAATGTGATACTAAATTAAATAAACAAAATAAACATGCTTTTCAATGACAATACCTGATACAGAAAATTAGGTATCTCTTAGCATAACCCATTCTAAGCATTAAGCTTGTACAATCATTATTTTATGATTCTGGTTCTCTGTCTCAGAGATGGAACCAACACTTGTGCGTGAAAAGGTGGGCTTACAATCTTCCTGAAATACCTTTATAGTCATCCAAATCAATGAAATGTTATAATGAAATATAGCAAGGCTGGCCTTAAAAAAACATACCTGCCCTTAGCAGAACCATCACTGGGGATAAAAGTGAAGAGCACTGTTATCTGGATAATAATTCAAAGTAACATTACATTATTTTCATGTGGAATAATAGTGGGATATAGGGATATGAAAAAGGGTTGTTGTGGACCAAGGGAAATGGATGTGTGATAGCTTTTCATTTGTCCATCTAAACAGAGGCCATAACTCAGCTTTTGTCTGAGGAGAATGGGCCACATGATTCCATACATCAGATAGTGGTAGCCAACTCAAAACCTTTCTGGGTATATGTATATAGTGCCAGGAAAAATGGGCTGTCTGAATCTGCAGGATCCAATCTGGATC